AGTAAAATGAGGTGTTTGAGGAAAGGATAAAAAGAAGGACGGCTATCAAGATCAATGAATCAGGTAGTGTAGATTAACATTACATTTGAATATTTGAAGATTAAAGCTATTAGGGAAACAAATAAGATGAAGGGAGTTCCAATGTCGGGAAGTACGAGATAAGAAGCTGTTGGAGTAGAAGAGATTTGACCTTTTCTCAGTGAAAGTATGGGATCAAGGTGTCAACCTACTAGCACACTTAAATTCATGCAGTTTGGGTAGCAGTGAAAGTAGCTCGTCAGAGCAGTTGCTATGAAAATATTTGTAGAAAGGACAGAGCGGAGGCACAGAACGTCTGTGAGGAAGTGACTGTAGATGTGATGCCAGATCAGGACCTATCACATTGCATATTGGTCTCTGGATTTTGTCGAGGACCTCGAGATGAACAGCAGGAATACCAGATCATATATTGTAGCAGAATTCAAGGCAATTTGAATGGTTGATTTGTAGATTTGAAGGATGGACTCAGGCGAGAATAATCTTCAGGCCCGACAAGTTGAACAAAGCTTTCCTTGCAGTAGATGAAGCGATTGATTCAATGTAGTTGTTCCACCTCAGGCCAGTTGAAAGCGTGAGAACAATCAAGCACAAAGAGGCGCTCTCGTGGAGTTGGGCATAAGACATTCTGCTAGTACGCAGGGCGCTTTCCCTATGGTGGGTAAATGAGAACATTTTCGTGTTTGAGGTATTAAAGTTTACAAGCCGTTTCCGGCTCCAATCAACCACATGGAAAAGCTTATTTTTACTTTGGAGTTAGCGCATTAGCTGCATTAATCACTGACAAATGCAACATGAAATACTGTCTATCAGCACGAAAAATCCGTTTCACGTAAAATCCCTTAATTAAAAACTATATATTGCACACATCATATGATTATTCCTATTACTGCTTACTTCATAATTGAACTAAGAGTATCAAGTGCATTTATGGTTAGGGTCATTTGTCTGTGATCGGGAATTAGACTCGGCAAATACCAAATTAAAACTTTACTTTCAAATTATGCTTTTAGGAAACACCTAACTCCATCTTTAAACTACATCTCATTTAATGATTAAAGACAGGGTAGATTGATGTCTCTAGCTTTGGCTGCAAGCCAATTTAGGAGAAAAAAACAGTAATGCACTGAACTCTGATACAAACACACTATGAAATTAATGACTTTCCTAAGGATTAATGGCACTTCTAAGGTAATAGTTCTGATTAAATTTCCTCTATCTTATCAAAATGTTTATGAATTTAAGTGCAGTGCTAGATTGGCGTTAAGCTGTCATTATTTTGCAGTATAAATAGCTAGATGCAACCGCAAGTTCTATGCTAACATTTTCTTCTCTCGCACCTATCACTCGTGCAGTTCGCTTCAGACATCTTGCTTCCTAGTAGACTTTGATTTTCAGAACATTTCAATGCAATGTCAATTGTGATCTTTTATCTACTTAATTCCTTTTTTTTATCTCTCTCCTTAATAGCTTTATTCATTTTTCTCATATTCTTTCAAAAATCTCAGTACTCTCTTGCATCTTAGCGGTCTTATTCCCTTTCTTGGGGTGAAATGATTAAAAACATAAAAATAAAATAATGGGATAGAAATCCAACGTTCTGCAGGAACTTATTAAAAAGAATTAAGAATGTTGAGGAAAACGAATAATTATCTTGGCAATGTCAAGAATCTTATGAATATCCACGGTAAAATATTTGGTTATTTTAAGTTCTCAGCACATCATCATCATCATCAGTTCCATCTGTGAATGTGTTCGTAGAGACGCTACGCACCTGAATAGTTCACTAACCGTATCTGAATTGTAGCGTGTCTACTGTCAGCAGACCTGGTTGACCCCACTTCTCTCCAAGTCAAATTACAGCCGATCCTCTCCAAATTTAAAGCGCGTCTTAGTCATGGCTGATGAATGCAGGAAGACGTGATTCACACCTGTATATAGTTTGCATGTAGTGGGATGTTTTGTGGTAGTGGTACTTATATAAACACCTTACACAATGAACACTGAGAATGTATGGTTTACATATCTGACCAAATGGCGACAGGGCGTTTGATTCCATTCCCCAACCAGAACGCTGATTTCAGTCCAGGAAGCCCTCCACCCAGCGATGCTTTGTCGTCAACAGCTATATGCACAGATATGGAACTATAAATATAGGTTTTAATACAGCAATATTTTTTTGAAGGAAAAATTATTATCAACACTACATTTCTAGAAAAAAAAATATTACCGTCAATACGTTTATGAAAAAAAAAATTCAGCAATACATTTTTTTTTTAAATTACCCATAATATATTTTTAGCAAAACATATTACCAGCAAGAAAAATCTTGCCGATATTAAATAACCCAGCGTGGTTGATATTCCGTAAAAGCAAACCAAACCAAACCTGAAATATATTTGTATGGGTTCTATGAATGTTCGATAACTAATCACACAATCACTACAAGATTTCCTTCCCTGTTCTCTGAATTTCCTATTATTGAACACGGAGAATGTATGGTTTATATATCTGACCAAATGGCGACAGGGCTTTTGATTCCATTCCCCAACCAGGACGCTGATTTCAGTCCAGGAAGCCCTCCACTCAGCGATGCTTTGTCGTCAACAGCTATATCCACAGGTATGGAACGCAGTATCCTCCATTGTGCTAGATTGTAACTGGAACTACAGAAAATTTCATCTTTCATTTGGCAGGTTTCTTTTTTAATTCTGCTGTCTGTCAAGGCACCTTTCTTACCAGAAATTTCTGATGAGGAAACCTGTTTAGTCATCGTTGACCCAACCTATACAAGATAGTACTACATAGTAACAGTGGCACTCGTTGAGTGACCGGACGTAATGTAGGCATTAATGTATCACATGTATGTTTGCCTTACAAATAGATAGGAAATGGAGATTCCACACCAAAGTGAATTCATTTGAAGTGGGTAAAGGAACCTTATCCTTACACTTTTTCTTCTTGTGGCAGATTGCGAACTCGTATGATATGTTTTCCAAATGTTTCGATCGATGTAATTTTAATTATATGAAACCATCTATCGGATTTTTACTTTGATCAGAAACATATCCCATGAGCCAAAGTTGTGTTTAAGAAAGAATATCCATTATGCGCCAGAGGCATGGCAAAAAGCTTAGAGCGAGAAAAACAAATCCAGTCAAAAAATTCAGAGAAACAGCGGTGGATAGAATCGATTGATAATAAAATAAGACTGTAGTAATGGCGGAAAAAAGAACCTTGATTTAAACCTCAGAAACAAGTTGAATACTTTCCACGAAATACTAGCCTAGATAATTTGTTGGAAGAGTAATTATAAGTTATTATCCTGGGGACAGATAGTGCCAATATACTCAATTTTAATGGGAACTGGACTACCAATCACTGAGCAGAATTAAATGGTAAAAGATATCGATTTTTTTTACTGATTATCAAACTTTAGCAATTTATTTAAAACCAAAAATTATATTTTAAGATTGTAAGGAAATTTGGGAGTGAATAATGATTTATTTATACAAATCCAACTACTTATCCAATGACTGCGGAAAAAAGACAGTAATACTGTTACCAAATATAATTGGATGTAAGTGAACTTAGCGAGCCCGACTGATATTAGAACTCCGTTCTCCGATTACCAATTCACAGTCTTTATCCTTTACGCATATTTGAACCCGTTTCCCCGATTCTTCAATCCAGGCCGCAAACAACTACTCTACGCTGCTCTTTAAAGTAAATCCTGGACCCGCCTTTCCTTTTGCAGATCATGTTTTATTAGCTAGGTAAATGATAAATTATGGTGAATGGCAAAAGCAAATATTATATTCTATGAAAATTCATAAAGAATTAAAAATAAATTTTGCAAGGCATCTAAAGAGTCTTTGAAAAATCGAGAATATCTGAACTATGGGGAAAGGTAGGCGCTTAGAATCGAATGACAATGACCCCTTATATTAGATAAAGACAAATGACGTTAAGGAATTTGATAAGAAAAACAGAACAGATATAACAGAAAATAATAGGAAATTCAGAGAAAAGAGAACGAAATCTTGTAGTGATTGTGTGATTAATTATGGAATATTCATAGACCCCATGATAATATATTTCAGGTTTGGTTTGGTTTTACGGCATATCAACCTCACTGGGTTATTTAATACCGGCAAGATTTTTTCTTGCTGGTAATATTTTTTGTTCAAAATATATTATGGCTACTTTTTTTTTTCAAAAATGTATTGCTGATATTTTCCTTTTTCATAAACCTATTGATGGTAATATTTTTCCAGAAATGTAGTGTTGATAATTTTTCCTTCAAAAAATTTATTGCTGTATTAAAACCTATTTTTATACATTCATAGTGCTTTGACTCGAGTTCAGGAGTTAAAATTTTGCCCATAGTTGGGACCCTAACAGGTGCTACCACGCCTGGTCCGGGTGAACCTGGGAACACCAGCAATTAAGATGTCGTTCCACGCTCCACAAAACATCCTGATCAGAGACTTGCTTTTGAACACCAGATGTAGCTTATGGTCTTACCCAGGACGCCATATTTCAGTGAGGCTTTATCTTTTCATATGGATTGCATACGTTAGTAAAAGTGAACAACGAATCAGAGATATTCGACGTAGAATTATATATACGCTTGTTACTGTTAATGAATATTTTTATTAAAATGATAGAACACATTAATTTAAATACAAGTGGTTAATTGATTGATTGATTTGCTGTTTACGGCTTTTCAGATTTCTGTTTAAAGCCAGAAATCATTTTTAGATTTTATGATTAATTTTTGGAGATGGTAATAATTTAGTTCTACAATTCCCACTAATATTGTGGGTGGATAGGGATTCATAATTTTCCCAAGGTATTCATGCTTAAACAAATAAAACGAAGCTGACATGAGTTAGATCTCGGCTCCCCATTTTCCAATTCAGCTTCGTGATCTATTACACCGCTCGCAGATGCAAGCTTAGAGCACCTGGTATTCCCAAGCCATCACATATCTAGTTACTGACCAGGCGCTTGCTTAACTTCCGTGATCCCAAGAGAACTGGTGTTTGTACGTGATATGGCTGTAAGCCATTAATGGATGAAGGACTAGCTTGTAAATTTCAATACTTCCAACATCAAGCTAATAAGGTTTCATCATCCGCAAGTAGACCATGAAATTACTACCGTCATGAAGTTAGTTTCTTTACCGTCTATTAACTACACCCACGCCTCAAATCGGACATATACCCGGTGCTGGAAAAATGGTCGGCTCCTTCACCACTTCAGAACATACCCCAATCCTTCTACCATATTTTATCTTTATCAGATCAGACCAAAATAGAAATATTACTGCCATATTTTTTGTCTCAGTTCTCCAAGTATCGCAATCCAGGCTTGAGAGAGTTAAAATCGTTTATAAGATTTTGCGAGAGATAAATTATTTGGAGCCTTCCACTATTTTCCGACGTTATTTCCAGAGCAAATGTTCAGGCGAGATACGTTCCTTAGTTCCTCCAGTTCAAATGGTTACAGCTAACACAGGCAATGCGCCTACTCACTCTTATATCATACTAATTCTCTTCATATTCCATTGGTAAGTGGGAAGTTCCACTCGAAGTGCTCTTTCCCAAGAACCGCTACTTTGTGTAATTGACAACTGGGAAGATGCCTCTTCAATCATAATCGTAACCGCGTCGTCTAATGTCAATCGTTATCTATCCTACATATCTTGATAATCTGCACTTCCTTCCATTCTCTTATGTTCAGGCAACAACCAAATCCATAAACTCACTACGTTTCTTGAATATTTTAATGCGTTAACATTATTAAAAAATAATTCTCTTTGCGCTTGACTAGTCTTACTCCAGTGGAGGTTTTCGTTCTATTACTAAATATCACTTCGGGATGTATGGGTTCATAGCTCTCCACAGCATCCTCTATTGTGCTGATTTCAACAATATTTTGATAATTTTACTACTGATCTTTGCTTTACTTTGACTCGTTCTGTTGCTATCTGTTTGTGTGAACTTGCCAATAATATTTCTCGTGGCTTTCCTTTGCCGCCCTGGCATTCGATATGTCAAGAGTGTGTTATATATGGCTTTCAGTCATCATTGAGTCCATAATTTTTTTATTGTAAGGAAAAGTTTCTTTGGATTATCTTTTTTTCGTTAAAACATCCTCGTTTCTCATATAATCTGTGCTTGCTGATCCCAATATCCTTCAGTAGATTCACTTAAAATTGATCTTGTTGTATACTCGGATCAATTATATTACTGGCTCTATTCATTAGAATAAAAATTATTAGTTTTTTTATATGATTCATCACACGGATTTTCTGACGATTGGATACGGCTTGGATTGAGGAATCGGAGAGCCGAGTTCGAATTCCAGTCGAATCCATTACATTCACTTACGTACTAACACCCTTGGGAAAGGTGTGAATCCTCTTTCTTCTCCCTCCAGCTATGGGTAAATAGCAGGACAGACTGGGTTCTATAACCTTGAATGGCAACTGATCTAGGAGAAGGAAAACTCTGAATTCAAACCTGCTCTTAGAGGAGGGTGAATGGAGTCTCTCTGAGCCTTTGTTGTCAATCCATTTAGTGTTGGTGTCACGATAAAAACACCCTTGATAGCCCTAGCGAAGCATCAAGAATTCAGCTATTTGACAAGATTATGAACTACACCAATCAAAGTATTGGTGAGTTCAATCTCGGCTGAGGCCGCAAGATGATGATGAGATGAGGATATCTTCGCAACTACGATTATAGCAGCCCAGTTGATATCGATCTATTGAAAACTTACCATATTTCCTTGTCATGTATTTCTTTTATCTGTTCGTAAAGTTATCAATAACATTGTCATCAGCCTCTCTGTTAGAATCACATCTATTATTACTTATGTGCTGCTCTTCAACTTAACCAAGATTCTCCTAAGAGACACGGGTCTTTTAGTGCTTTCCCATATTGTTGATTTTTCTTGTCTGTTACAATTCATGAGCCCAAGTATATATTCATCCAACGCTGCTTTACCTTTAATGTTTACATAGTAATCGTTTACTTATTTAGAAATTCTAACTCCTGTCCAAGGGCATTTCTCAGCTTTTATTTCTTTGAACTCTTCGGTAAATCTGTTCGCTCTAAGCTCTGCCATTTTTTCCATTCCGGTATATTTCTCATGAAACCACTCCTCTTGAACGCGGTCACTTATTTTTATTCTTTCTGTTTTGCCAAATACGCTATAATGTTACCTGCTTTTTCTGTTTCAGTAGCTCAAGAATTTCATTGGCATTGTTGCGGAATCTATGCTGGGTAAGAAGATGTATCAGAAGGTGATTTTTTTTTTGTGAAGGCCAAGAATGTGCGGTGATCGTAATGCATTTATCCACAACAAATAAATCAAACAAAAATAGACAATTCAACTTCAAGAAATTACTGAAAACAACATCATTAGAGATTTCAACAATAACATGAATTTATATATATATATATATATATATATATATATATATATATATATATATATATATATATTTGACATACACAAAGTGATAATATGTTGCTTGTTAAATATGGCAAGTGAGATAAGGTACAAATATTGTCCATGCAGAAATTTAGTGAGTAAAGGTTGATAGTTTAGATTTGTTTGTGGAATTAAAATAGTTTGATAACTGCAAGGAAAGTTGTCAATTGTGTAAGTTCAAGTGATAGTGTGTATGTGTGTGACAACTGCTATTGTTGACTTAATTTAAGAAGATGTTGTAGAGTAGTTTCACAGTGAAGGCTTGTATTTCACTAAGTCGGTCCTAAAAAGCTTCGACATACAAAACGTTAGGAACTTGAAATAATAGTTAATGACGCAGCAATCTAGTTGTGGTGGTTGATACTTTAATGTCCGACATCGACTGACTCACCAGCTCACTGAGCACACTGGCGACTGCTACTACTACTACTTATTATATGTGGGAGTGTCTATTAACAATAGAATAGGTGTGTTTTAGTATAACAGAAGAGTTGCTCGCCTTTAACTGATGGGCTAAATTTGATTGAATGTATAATTACTGTTTTGTAGTGATAATGTCACTTTTTTAGTAAATTGTAAGTTAAGTTTCTTCACGCGGCAATAGTTGTTCGAGTTGTGTTGAGTTGTTGACAGGTTGGTAGTGGTTATTGAGTCAGTGTGTTGGCACGCGTGCGGATCTGCTGGTATTTCTCGAAACTCAGTGTCTGACTAACTTGAATTAGGTCGAGCGATTCTTTTTATAGATTTTCGAGTTTCCAATATAGGCTCCAGAGTCCTGCGCGGGAAAAAGGTTTGTCTCAACTTTGCTACATTTTAGTGACCTTTTAACCAGTGGGGGACTGAGTTTGAAAAATAAAATGATGATTGATTAAAAGTTTATTTGAGAAAGAGTGCATCTTTCCGTAGGGGGGGGGGTGACAGGCAAATGTGGGGGATTCCATGACATATCATTGTTTCGGGATGATTTCATTGAAATTCACTTCCATTACTTGAATATTTTCAAGCCTTACTATTTTATTTTACTGCGACATCTTATGTTTGTTTGCATATCTAGTTGCTTGTTGGCTATTATATTTCAGTCACTGCTCAAGGCTTCTTTCATTTTTGTAAAATTACTCTATATTATAATATTCCATATTATTTGGAGGTGATCACATTCTGTATATTTTAACGCTTCTTAATTTTCTGATCAAGTGGTTAATATCATTTTAATATCTCAATAAACGTTTTCCCAAATCCGCGCGTGTCTTTGGTATTCTTCAAAATTATTATCTCTTATTAGTAAACCGCTTGATGTCTGTCGCTGTGTGCATTTGCTTCCGTGCTGTCAATTGCAATCTATATTTCCCCTTGGTGCCACTATATTCCCCATTTTTGTTTGAATTTCTGAAATGAGTAGTTATTATATACACTGTTCATATTCGGAGAGTAGGTTATCCGGACCCATGTACATCTAAAGATAGCCGGAGGGAACTACGGTCGAAACGTTGTGATAATAACAACAAATGTGAGCAAAATCGTCCGAATATAAATAGTGTAAATAATTCACATCCTACATCTGAATTTAAGTTCTCAATGAAAATAATTAATTGTTATACTTTTTCTCGTGTGACGCAAAGCGTGCCTGCCTTGAAAATTATTATTCAAAATTCTGTTTTTTACATAATTTCAAGCACAAAGAACTGAAATCAGTGGCGAATACGCAGCTGAATGTTTAGTACATATCCATGGTTTAACAGGTGGGTAACATCCGCCAGTCATCGCACGTCGTTTGACTGTTCTCGCTTATCGCTTTCAAGGAAAGAATTGTCATTTTATGTCTGGAAATGATGCAGCATAAATTTATTGAACAAACTCAAATAGGCGATCAAATCTTGATGATTGAGTCTCCGGAAGGAAACGAAGTCACGATTCATATATTGCTAGATTAAAATAACTACTAATCATCTACTGGAACTGTTATTCAATATCGCCATGTCTATAAGGATATTTTTATATCCTCTACTTTATGACAAGAAATTACTTTGAGTATTTCCTCTTTAAATGTGAATAAGAAGCTGCATTTTCTTGGATGTTTTTTTTTTTTTGTTGTGAATACTGTTTAAAATATATTAAGTGAATGAAGTTTGATATTTCAACAACGTTTTAGTTTAATCCACAGCTTAATAGAAATCCCATTCGATGAATCACACACAAATCGTGCCGCGTACCGTTCAGATAGAATGATCAAGGAAAAAATAAAGATGTGGAAAGAAAAATCAATGAAGAAATGCGGAAGTTGTGTGAGAGTATTGATATTTATGAAGAAAGAAATATACACTAATAAAGTGAACTCTATCCCTTCAAAAAAAGAAGAAAAAGGTAAACAAAATAGGATTAAATATAAAGTGACAGGGCAGAGATTGAAAAGAGAGCTAACATACACACACACACACACACACACACACACACACACACACACACACACACACACATATATATATATATATATATATATATATATATATATATATATATATAATTATTTATTTAAAATTATAACATAAATATGTTATAAAATCAC